ACACCAGACAAATCAAAGTCGCCTATTAGAAGAAATTAGGCAAGGGCATGTCTGGGGCCACACTGCTAACCCTGCCCATCTCTCCATCCACATCCACCTTAGTTCAAACTTCCACTCCTTCAGAAACCAAATCAGCAGATTTTTCCCTTGCAAAAATGAGCATGAAAAGGAAAGAGAAGACACATGATCTCCATTTCTAGAACAGAAGCAATTTCCCCTGGTGTTGACTAGAAAATAAGGAATGTCTGCCCCATAATAACAAAACAGAGACAACAATAATAATGGTGAGAATGCATTGAGCATCATATGGGTTTATATTGGTCATTTATACTCGCTCATTAATAAGTAATTTTAGTGTTCTAAAAGCACATGAAAAATCTAGCTACCTTTCATTGCTATACTAGGTATCATTTTTTTTTTTTTGCTTCATTTCACTCATTTTAACAAATATATGTTGGGTGCCTATTATGTCTAACTCACTTTTCTAGGCTATGGAGTACAGCAAACAACAAAACTGAGAAAAATCATTGTCTTCTCTGAGCTTACAATCTAGCAAAGTTTTCCTAGGGAGTTTTACAGGGAGATGGGCAATAAATAAGACAAATACAAAAAGACATAGCATTGAGGGGTGACAAATGCGATGAAGAAAAATGAAGGGAGTGTACGAGGTGTGGGAGTGGATTTCAATTTAGATAGTGTGGCCGGTGAAAGCCTGCCGTTTCAATAAAGATGTGAAGGACCGAGGAAAAGGACATGCAGGTATCTGGTGGAAGACTGTCTCCGGGAGAGAGAAGAGCAAATGTAAAGACACAGAGAGGGATTAAGAAGGGGGCAGAGCAGGATAGGATCCTGAGAACAAGGGAGAGATGAGGTCAGAGCCTTCACTGGGAGCCCGTTACCATGCAGGGCATTGGAAGGACTTGGGCTTCATTCCAGGTGAGGTGGAAAGGTTCTGATCAGAGGAGAGATGCAATCCACCTTATGTTTGAGCAAGGTCATGCTGGCTGCCATGTTGAAAATGGATGGAAAGGGAGCATGTGTGGAAACAAGGAGCCGGGTCAGGAAGCCCTTGCAGTAACCCATAGGAGAGGCTGTGATATCTGGGTCCAAAGAGGTGACAGTGAAGGTGGTGAGAAGTGGTCAAGCTCTGGGTATATTTTAACATTTATTGACAAATTGGATGTGTGTGAGGTGTATGAGATATAATGAGAAAGGGAAGGGAAGAGGGATTAAGGTTTACTCAGTCTTCATGTTCAGTTCAGTTCAGTTCACTTAGTCGTGTCCGACTCTTTGCGACCCCATGAATCGCAGCACGCCAGGCCTCCCTGTCCATCACCAACTCCTGGAGTTTACTCAAACTCATGTCCTCATGTTAGGTTAGGCAATTGACCACATAAGGCTGCAGTTCAAGAAGAAGCTGTGTTGGAGATTTAAGTGTGAGATTTACCAGCATACTCTTATATCTTTACTATGAGACAAAATGTAATCACCATGCAAATTTAGGGGTAGTCTTTTTAATGTTTTTAGAGATGAGGAAAAGGAAGCTGAATGGAAGGGCTGGGGTATTGAGGATAAACCTGAGAAAAAGTGGTATCCTGGAAGGCAAGTGAAGAAAGTCATTTAAAAAGGAAGCAATAATCAACTGTGTCCTAGAATCAAACCAGAGACATGACTTTGAATTTGGCACTGTAGAGATTGTTTTTGATCTTGATAAGAGTGGTTTCAGTGGAAGAGAGGGGTGAGAGCTTGGCTGGAGTGACCTCAGGAAAAGAATGGGAGGGTGGAGATTGGAGACTGCTCTGTGGACAACTTTCAAATTCTGCTTTAGATGGAAAGTGAGGAATAGGGTGGTATCTGTAGGGGTGAGTCCTGAAAAGGCTGTTTTGTTTTTTTGATGGGAAAGTTAATAGCATATTTGTAGACTGACCTTCTTGTGTGTATCTGGGGATTAGATGCCTAAATGCTGAGAAAGATCTGCAGGGATAGGAGTTTTGATTGGAAGTCAAGTCTGTTTGAACATATCATTCTGGACCATGGGGTGTTAGGGAAATGTCAGTGCTGGACTGGATGACATGAGAATACTGGCATCGCAGAAGGAGAGCAGACGGGGCCCCAGAAGATGGATCAAGCAGCAGAAGAGGACGGCCTCCTAATTAAATACTGCCTACTTGCATTTTGCATAAAGTGTAGATTACTGCAGTCTCTATGGTATTGGTGGAAAAATCTTCCACATGCCACAGAAATTTAGTCTAAATGGAATCTTTACAGAATTTTTTTTAATAAAAATATAAATCACCTTTTAATGTTCAAGTCATCTCTGTGGGAAAAGTCATTTTGAATGGGTTCAATGGTGGAGGAAGGCCTTTTTCATGAACTGGATAATTTGAAGGTCAGTCTGCCTTCTGTTGAGGACTAGAACAGTGGTGTACGTTAATTAATGTATCTCTGTAACACTGTCACCAGGAACTGGGTCGCCAGTAGTGTAGGTGTTCTGATGAATCAAGCAATCCAGCTAACAAAGACCTACAACATAGAGTTTAAATTGATTATCAATGCGGAAGCAAGTCTAAAATTGGGTATATTGTAGCTGTAGAGATGAAGACTGGATGGAGGGTCTCTTATCAGCCAGCACCTGTAGTGCCAGTGGCTTTGTCTGGATGCCACAGATTCAGGAATTAATTCTCTTCTTTACAGGAGGAGAGACTTTATTTCACCCATTTATACAGACATCCAGAGGAGGGTTTGCACAGATAATTCCTGTCAATCATGGGATTGGGAGACAGACTAAGCAATTAATAAATCAGAGAGTTGATGAGAGTTGGGGAGCCTCCAGGTCTCACTGTTATCATCTTTGAGAAAGCCATGTGTTGCCTGTATCTCTAAAGAGTCGAATACACATTCTTCAGGGCATAGCATCATCCTGGACAAACTGCAGATATTTCATAAGGCAGCCTCTCTTCTTACAGCTTTCATTTCAGAAAATGCTTACAGTGTGGTCTGAATTGGTGGAATGGCCCCTAGTGCAAATTACTGTTTGTCACTTTGGGAAACAAAATCTCTTCTCTACTCTGTGGTCCCACTAGGCAAACAGGTATAGAATTGTTACTATGTATGCTGTGACCTAGTGTGGATATAATAATAATATGGAAAACAGTGAAGAAGCTTAAGGAGAGATGTTATGTAAGAGACATAGATAATGATTTATTTATGAGTTACCGATTTGAAGCTTTTGGATTACACTACTGATTGGTATTCTGTGTCTCTTTTCCCCATCACTTTAGGTGCATAGGATACACTAAGACTTAAAGGTGTAGCAAGAAGAAAAACTTACGCAAAACTGTTTGTAGTACCAGTAAAATAAGCCACTTTGCCTTGTTGATTAATATATTAAAATGAATATTACAAGTATGAGATAGAATTCACCAACATGCAAAACTTGAAATCATGTCACCAAAATAGTGATGAAAATAGCACTTCTATCACAGCTTAAAAGTTGGTTTTATTTTTCTTTTCAGGATTTAAAGTGTTAAACTCTTCATTTTGGCCAGATGATTAGAAAGATATAGTTCTCCTGATTATTTTTATACTAGAATAATCTTTCATTATTAATCCATTTAAGTCTTATCTCAAATCGGTTCATCAGTGCTACCAATTAAAAATAGAAAATGTATGTGCTCAATTTCAAGAATTAAAAATAATGCCTTGGGAGTAGCATTTTTTTCCTGTGGTGAGAGGATTGTTGGGTTTTCCAATTAAAGAAGTCTCCATACTGGAAATGAGTAGTCAATTATGAAAATTATTTTTGAATAGCCAATTTGCATAGCCCTAATTGTATTCATTTCTTTTGAAAGACTGAACTTGAGTTTATGATGTTTTGATTGGTTAACCCTGCACTGGTGTTATTAATACTATTGCCAACAAGGTTCCCTTATGAATGGGGCTTTGAATGCCTTACCTGAAAAATGTTTGAATGATAAGCCGGTTTGTTTTATTTAATGAATGAAAATATCTAAAGATTTACTAGCAGTTTTCTAGATTTGCATTTTGTAAACTGCATTTTATTGGATTGACAGTAACTTCCCTGAGCCACCTACTGCACTCCCATTTGGACTTTTCCACATCAGCTTTGGCTTTTCCACTTGTCCAATGAGAGACATTGGACGTTCCTATCATGGTGCTGTTTGCTGGCCAAAAATGTAGATTCATTCAGGGCTGTCTTTGCCATTTATCCAGTAATGTTTGCACAATTACTTGATTATTGAATGTTGCCCATATTGTAAAACAAATGACTTGGAGACTGACAATTATTGGTTTTTATAGTAATGATGAGACACCTAGTTCTTATATGAAATAAGTTTGAGATGAAGATTGGGATGATTAAAGTCCTGATGTTTAGTTTCACTGGACTTAAGCCAGTCAACATGGAGTTAGTCATGAAGGAAAAGACCAAAATTACAGGCATGAATACAAATGGGAAAACTACGTGTACAAGATAAGCACAGATTGTGTATAACATACACATGTATGTATGACTCTGTTTATTATGGTTGTGTCTAAAAGGACAGTTAACAGTTTCACCATGTCTTTACCTCTTTTGACACTGGAATGTTCTCTTCTACCGCGTAAGTCTGTTGTTCACATTCTGCATATTCAGCTTTCATGTTTGACAATATCCTTAAAACAAAGAGATGCTAATGTCCTGTTAGGCACATTAGAAAAGAAAGTGAGGGGAGGAGTGGGCCATTTCATTCCTTCCAGAAGTTTAACCAAAACTGGATCTCTGTTCCAGGAATATGCAAACAAACTGTTAATTATTTCCTGACCGTGACCCCTTCAGACATGATATTGAATTAAGAGTTGTGATACAGTAACATTAAAGTTTTCAGTTTTAAGAGGCCTTTAAAAAAAAAAAAAGGAAATAAAGATCACAACCAGCTAGATAGTGTCCATGTGATATGCGTGTCCTACGAAGTAATTAGTGTTACTGGATTTGTTTGTAGCTGATTGCTGTGTTTGACGAGCAAGAACCACTCCACAAGATTGAGAGCCCCAGTGGAAACCCCGCAAGCCGGCAGAGCCCAGATGCTTTTGAGACGGAAGTGGCTGCCCAACTGGCTGCATTCAAACCAGTCGGTGGGGAAATTGAAGTAACCCCTTCTGCTCTGAAATTAGGTAGGTGCATTTTTTAAGTCATCTGCTTTTCATCTGGTTGAAATACATCATCTTGCTGTCTATGAGTTGCTTCCACTTTATGATTGACCCTGTTATTGTTTGCCTTTAAATGTGGACTGTCTTTCTCTAAATTATTTTTTACATAGATCTTTACAGCTGCTGATGCTTAAGAAATGGATGCAGTTTCTTCTTGAATTGCAGGTGAATCTGAATTGCATATCCTTGAACTGACAGGGGAGGAGTTAGACTGTAAATAAGGAGCTTCATCGATAGCATATATGTGCCATGTGTACGGAGTCACTCAGTCATGTCCGACTCTTTGTGACCCCATGGACTGTAGCCCCCCAGGCTCGTCCAAGGGATTCTCTGGGCATGAATACTGGAGTGGGTTGCCATGCCCTCCTCCAGGGGATCTTTCCAACCCAGGGATCAAACCCAGGTCTCCTGCATTTCAGGCAGATCCTTTACCATCTGAGCCAACAGGGAAGCCCATAGCATGTGAGGACCACTTAAATGTGTTTAAAAGTCCCTGAGAAAAAGTCACTTGGAAAAAAAAACTAAGCGTTATCAAGGATTCCAGGCTAGAGATAAAAGATCACTTTCTGTTTTAGCCACTTTCTTCTCCACCAACTGTGTATCTCAAGATTTGGGGAGAAACATTTTGAAGTTAGTTTTTTATTTCTGTCCTACTGATTTATTCCAGGCAAGTGATTCTGTTCAGAATGCTCATTTGTTACATTTGTTTTGAAGGTGTTGGTAGAAAGAGAAAATAAACATTCTTCTAAAATTTTAGTGAATTTCTGACTCCAAGATAAATAATCTCAATTGTGGTAATATCTCTTAAAGATAATTTTAGGTCAGTTTAAAGCATAAAGTTTTGAAAATCCACTAATATTGTGTTACTTAAAACCACTTTTTATTCGTATTGAATGTATGCATACATTTTGCGAACATTCCAAGCACCGGTTATAGGTTAATTCTAAAGCTAGAACAGAGGTTGTTTTTATGCAAAGCATATGCTTAAAATTGTAAAGACTGTGCATAGTGTAATTTTTGCCATTTGAAACAAAATATATTGTAACGTTTATTTTACATGCCAGGATACTGAGTATCTATATATTTTGTACTGATTTTCTGGAAGGCATCTATAGTACCCCTTTTAAAATAAACCAAGTGGAAATGAATGACCTGTCATCTTCATAATCTCCCTCTATCTGTTGGAAACCAAGCTAGCAGAGCAGTTTCTGCTGGACTGCAGACATGGAAGGGCTTGGTGGCAGCCTCCTTTCATCTGGAGCTAGGTTTGTGGCCTCAGCAACCTCACAGCCCTATCGTTCATTTGCATAATGGATGCCTTTTTATCCATTATGCAAATAGTATGGGAGGAAAATTAGGCAATAAGGGAAGACGAAAGGAGAAAATTGCTCTTGCTTGTTTTTAATATTCTATTTATAAGCAAGCTCTGTGGTCTTCAAAAGTCTCAACCTCAGAGTACTGCCTGTGCCTGAGAATTTGTTTTTTCACCTTTCTCTTATGAGCTTTCTCAGGTTAAAAAAAAAGTTATTTTCCTTTAGCTTTTTCAGCTTCTTTTATTGAACCATCTGAGCAATACAATGTTCAATGTAGAAAGAAAAGCAAGTTGAAATTCCATATCTTTGAAAGTGGACTTTCTGCTTCTTCAATACTCATTTTGGATCAGACACAGAGAATAATATATATTCAGTGGTAATTATATTCTAGGCACAGACCTCAAGGCAATGCACCAAGTATTCTAAACCCTGTACTGCTGTCAACTTATTCGAGCCTCAGGATACTCAGTTGGGTTCTATTATCTCCCTTATTTAAGAGATGAGGAAACAGGCATTGAGCAGTTATGTAACTCCTCCAAAGTCACATAGCTGTTAGGTGGCGAACTTAGGATTTGAACCCTTGCTGGTTCCAGGTCAGGAATAATTGTGCTGTGCTGTCTTTCATATGCTATTTGTAAAAGAATGTATTGATAATATACGCCAAATCCTGAAAATGCTTAACCCCTTGGTGTCAAATCCCATCTCAATTAGTGTCATAGATGAAATGGTGAAATTGGCCAGCCTTTACTGCTGGGTGGTCAGTATTGCCTTCCAGCCATTCAGTCTGAAACGGTGGAGATCGCTCCTGTTTCTCCTTTTTTTTCTCATCATCTGCACTTTCTTTAGCCTTCATGTCCAGGAGCACTGAAGCAGGCCAGAGCTTTCACATCGATCTGCAGTAGGCTCATGATACTACAGAGGCCTCAGACTGACCTCTTTCTGTACCACACCTGCTTTCCCCAATCCCTGCCTCTCCAGAGTGGCCTTCCTAAATCACAAATCTGATTAGATAACTCCTCTGTTTAAACTACTTGCAGCAGCTTCCCACTGTGAGGAGGACCGTGTCCAAACTCGTTAGCGAGCTGATACAGATGGTCCCTTGGAATTAGATGGAGAAATCTGGGCAAGGATGAATGATGAAGAAATCATCCCTTGTCTACTCTCATGGTTCTCTCAGACCCTGCACTTTACATTTCTAGAATTTTAAAAGCAAAGGAAAAAAAAAAAGATCATTGTGTTTCTCAGATAGAGAAATAAAAGACTGAAGCCAAGCCACCAGCTTTGGTATCTGCCCATTCTGTTTTCCCTTTCCTGTCCTCAGGGCAGGGTGTGGTTATGGCTTGGCACAGAGGGATGGGGGCTCTACTTGGGAGCAGATGCAGGGTCCATGAGGAACTCTTCTGAGGGGCGGTCTGTTTGTACTGCCAGGCCCACCCTGAGCCCTTGTTTAGAAGATGAATTGGGCAGGGAGGGAGGGCTCTAGGAGGAGGAGCAGCAGCAAGTGTGTTCTAAGTATTCATCATCACAGAAGGCAAATAAAATGCCAACCCCCAGCCCATCCTCTCTGCTCCCTACTCAGCTCTCAGAGGCTTCTGGAACTGGTTCTACTTCGCATGGGACTCCTTGGCCCAGGCTGGTACAGCAGACGTGGGGCTGATTTTCCTGAGTTTTCTCACTCTTGAGATCCATTCTTGACAATGGGGAATTGAACCATAATTTGTTCACATGCTTATTCTTACTTAAAGAGACACAGTTTAACAGATATTGGGAAACAATACGTTCTTCTCTTTATTGGTGATTGTTAATGCTGAAGCTGAAACTCCAATACTTCGGCCACCTCAAGCAAAGAGTTGACTCATTGGAAAACACCCTGATGCTGGGAGGGATTGGGGGCAGGAGGAGAAGGGGACAACAGAGGATGAGATGGTTGGATGGCATCTCCGACTCGATGGACGTGAGTTTGAGTAAACTCCGGGAGTTGGTGATGGACAGGGAGGCCTGGCGTGCTGCAATTCAAGGGGTTGCAAAGAGTCAGACACGACTGAGCGACTGAACTGAACTGAATTACCAGTAGTGTAGGTTTTACTGATATTGAAATAAAAATGTACTCAACATGCAGTATAATTTTTATATCTCTTTTTCCAATACAAGTTCATCATCTACACTATCCTACTAAAGATTCACAACCTTCCTCACATACATGCAGACAGTGGTTGGCCCTACCTTTTTTTTTCCTTCATCTCCCAAGATGAAATAACTTATACAGAGAACATGCAGAAAGTTTGTTTTCAGGGACTCAAGCTACCAGAAGCCACTTCTTGTTGTTGTTTTTAGTCACTGTCATGTCTGACTCTTTTGCAGCCCTGTGGACTGTAAACCACCAGGCTCCTTTATCCATGGGATTTCATAGGCAGGAATACTGGAGTGGGTTGCCATTTCCTCCTCCAGGCTTCTTCCCAACCCAGGGATCAAATCCATGTCCCCTGTGTTTCCTACATTGGTAGATGGATTCTTTACCATTGAGTCACTTGGGAAACCCCAGAAATGGCTTGCCATTCACTGTTTGCTACTTTCTTTCAAACTTCTGTTTTGTAGTTAGAATTTCCTTTCCTTTGCCTCTTTTCAACTTGGTGAAATTGTATGCACCTTTAAACTCAATTTCAAACATGACCTTGTTTGTGAAACCTCATCCAAATCTTCAAGACAGTATGGTAAATGTGCCATAAATCTATTTCTTAATTATTCAATAAGGGATACAAAGATGAATAAATTTTCTACTGACAGAAAGGAATTCATAGTCATGCACCCTATGGAAGCTAATGGGGTACATATTAAAATTTTTAGTTTGTAAGACAAATGTTAAATCAAGTGGGCTACCACATAATTCAAACTTCATTCATCTAAATTATTTCCTACCATTTATTTTCTAATGGATTTTCTAATGTAATGCTGAATGACTAAGTTTTGACTCAGCCCTACCTAGCAAATCTTTCTAGCACTTCAAGATTTTAATGTTTCTGAAGTTGACCAGTGCATTTTACTGTGTAGACTAAGGATTGCTAACCTGAGAATCTATTTAATAAAAGGGACGGTCAAACAAACACCAGATAGAATAGCAAAGAATCATATCCACAGGGTCGTTTAGACTTTAGAATCATCTAGTTTATGAATTTTCCAGGTCTTATATGCAGAACCCTATGGTACTTAACACATTTTGGAATTTCAGCAGACATTTGATTCGAGTTAATAACATTTATTGGGCACCTAAGCTCTGGGTGCTATTCTAATTTATTCACATCCACTCTTTGAACACATATGATTGGTTGTGCTAACAGGGCAGAAAGGGATGCAGAGGGCTGTTGAATAGGCAATAGAGAATTTTAATATCATTTAGAAGTCTTACAGCAAAGAAACCTACCTACACTCAAAAGAATTGTTAGCACCTTTTAGAGAAACTTTGTGAAAAGCTGGTCTTCTAATAGACAATTCTATAGATTTCATAATAACACTTTTCTATACAATTAGCATTATTTTACAAATGACCAAGTGAAAGCTTAGAGAGATTGGTGTGTGCTCTGATGTCAAATAACTAGTCGGTTAAAAGAGTAAAATTGGAACCCATAATACATTTCTTGGCTTTCAGTTCCATGA